TTTTTTTTTTAATAATTATTATTATTTACAAAATATTTTACTTTGATTATGGAGCACTGTATATTTTTCTCATTCAGTTTTCGAATAATCATATATATATAAATATATATATATATATTAAGTATTATATCCGAATACATATATAAATATTTTAAACATGATTTCTTTTTTTTTTTTTTTAATTTTTGTTTTTTTTATTTATATATATTTTCTCTTTTATACGTGTCTCTTTTTTTAATAATAATAATAATAATTAATAATATTTGTATATAAACTGAGAATAAAAAAAAAAAAAAAAGAAATTAGATAAAAATTTTTTCCTAAGTAGCGTAAACTATGTTTGTTTGTTTGTTTTGTTTTGTTTTTTGTTTTTGTTTTTTTCTTTTTTTTTATACATATATCTAACATAATGAAAGGCGAACATAATAAATGGACAACTTATAAATAATAATAATAATAATAATATTTAAACAATCAAACCTATAAGGAAACAATTAATAATGCAACCATCAATCTTACACACACGCAAATGGCATTAAAAGGGTTAATTACAATTAAATTCAAATAGACGTATACTTTTATAAAGTGATTCAAATGAGTGATTATTATTTATGTTGTGCTTCCGACAATTGAAAATATGTTTTTTGTTTTTGTTTGTTTGTTTGTTTGTTTGTTTTTTTTTCATTTCGTTAATGATGTATTGTTAATAATTTTTTTTCTTTTTCTTCTTTTTTTTTTTTTATTGTACAAATATCCTGATTTTTTATTTGACTGCCACGTCGAAATAATCAATTGTTTTACCTAGGACGCCATGACACTATTTTTATTATTAATCAAAGAATATAATTTATGTAAAATAATAATAAATTAGTGTTTATAGAAAATGTTCATTGTTTAATAGGATATAATTTTTATATTTCAACTAACACTAACGTTCAATTTTCATTTAGTTTTTTGTTTTTTTTTGTTTTCTTTACAATTGTAAAAGGTTCAACGTCGTCTCAGGAGAAATCCAACATGGCAGTCAAAGTGTTAATCGTAGAACGTAGTATTAAAGATTTTCATCAAATAAGAATATTGTACGTTTGAAAAAACATTCATATATTATGAATCGTAGTAGTTTATAATTAGACATGTACAAATAGACAATTTGAGGTCTATACATTTATGTCAAATACTGATGATATTTCTCTTATTGCATCTTAAATATATATATATATATATATATATATAATATATATATATATATATTTATTTAATTTGACAGGTAATATCCATAATCCTTGGTTTAACATCTTTCAAATGAGAGAGAATTAATGTTGTTTTTTTTTTTATTAATTAAATTGTTTAAAGAATTAAGTAAATTTCTTTTGATAACAATTCGAAAATTTTAAAATATGAAAATAACAATAACAATAATAATAAAAAGAATAGAATGAAAAACAATAGAAGATCAATGTCCTCTTACTAATTGGCAGCATTATAGGTAGCCCAACAAATAAAATAAAATAAAATAAAATAAAATAAAATAAAATAAACTAAAATAAAATAAAATAAAATAAAATAAAAGATGCCACAAAAAAGTTGATGCGATGATGACAGATATTCGGAAACATTTAGATTTAAGAAGATGGAAGCTTCGAGATATTGAAAAAAAAAAAAAAACTTACTGGAGCATAAAACATTTGGTTGTTTCTTGAAAATGGGATACAACAATCGCCATTTTTGATTTGCTTCAAGTACCATGCACCTCAATGTTTCATGTTCCTTATATATATTGTATTATTCAATTAACTACTGCCATTCAGTAGATGTACAATTAATGCAGGATCATTTAGTATCCAAATATATTTTAAGCGCTTTCTCACTACGTCTATTGTAACCCGTTGAAGATGAAAGTTGGATGAATCGTGCAGTTTCTTTATTAGTAATCTCCTTAGTTTCGTCTGGACTTAATTTTTTTAACTCCTCCCGGCTATCCCTATAATTATATTTATTTTTATCATTTTTCTTCTATCAATACATATATATATATAGTGGACTGGAAAGTAATGTCACTTTCTAACCTTAAATTCAAACAACCTTTTTTCATCTAGTATTAGCACAGGATATTTCCACAGGATATTCTAGTATTAGAATTAGGATGGGAAAAGGCCGCCACAGAGGTGCGGACAGAGACTCTGAATAGCTGGCAAACCCGCTGGACGGAAGGCAACAAAGACAGATGGACGAGACGGCTCATAACGGACGTACGAGCAGGGTCAGAGAGGAGAACCATGGGGAAGTCAATTTTTACTTAACCCAGTTTCTCTCTGGCTACGGATACTTCCGTAGGTACCTGTACCGTATGGGGAAAGTAACGTCCCCGTCGTGCAGATAATACTGCGGACATGCACAGGACGACGCGGAACACACATTTTTCGTGTGCTCGCGGTGGACAGACGCCAGACGGACGCTACGAGCTAAGACAGGAGATCTGACCCCGGACAACGTAGTGTTCGCTATGACTCAGGACCAGGATAAGTGGGATGACGTGACGCGTTATGTGACGTACGTACTCATACAAAAACGAACAGACGGATGCCTAGAAGGCTGACTTGACGAACAAATTAAGAGGATGATCAGACATGCCGGCTAGTTCGAAGTAATGTGCACAACAGTCCCGGACTGGTTCGGGGACAGCCGAAGTCAACTACTGACTTCATAAAAATCAATCGGTTTTTGATTAAAATATAAAAATTGACATTACTTTCCGGTCTCCCTATATATATATATATATATATATATATATATATATTACAAATATTGAATTGTAAATGTTAACCTGTAGAGGAAGACAGCACCATCTTCATAATCATCGTATACATTTTTGTTACCAATTACTTGTTCGGTCGTCCATTGAAGATCGGTATGAACTTTTAATACATGTATATCACATGGAAAAGTACCTTTTCCCTTTGCTATATCTATGTATTTTTCAGGTATATTTGATATAGAAGATATCTAAAAAAAACAAAAACAAAAACAAAAAAAAAGAAGAGTCAAAATAAAAACAAATTATTTTATGAATAATTTGTAATGTTGTATAATAGTATAATAAAGAAATACTTAGATAATGTAAAATAATGATCGATTTGTTTGATTACCTTTCTTTTTAATTCGTCTATCGATTTTTCATCTAACACAACTTCTTGAAGTTGATCAAGTTGCACTTTGGCGGGAAACCATCTTCGTACAAACAAAACTACTTGATTGTCATTATCGGTAACAGTTTCTTTCTCTGGTAATTCTTGGACAATCATTTCATATTGCGTGAGTAATAATTGATCAAATTTCTGCTTATCTAAGAATACCTTAGAAGCTATATTATGATATTTTTTTCTCAGTCTACATTTTTCATATGGTATGTCTATGTTATGCTTTTTCTTTAATTCGGCTAAGATTTGTTTCTTCGCTTGACCGAATGTCATATCCTTAGAAAGTATTGTTTCGCACAAGAATTTGTAAGGCTGTAATTAATAACAGAAAAATTACATTATTAAAAATATATTATATGTTAATTATGTTAATATGCTTCAAATTGAAAAAAAAAAACAATAATAAGACTCAATTTATTTGAATTATCTTTAACACTTTAATGGCCGCTCAAACAACATCTGTGTGTGATAATCAAAACAATCATTATTGCTCGTTATTTACTTATATAACTTTTTATATATTTAAAATTATATAAAATTAAATTTATTGTTGTTGTTTTTTATTTTTTAATTAATTTTTCAAGAATATTACTGGCTTTTGGTAACGTTTGACTACGTAGTAGACTACGTAGTAAACTACGTAGTACGTGCGGCCATTAAAGTGTTAAAACACTTCAGAAACATATTTTATATGATTCAAAAGATTTGTTAACTACATCAATTATAAAACAATTGATGTTGCATTCATGACTGCACAATGATGTTAATATACGTGAGCTTTTTATTTTAAAAGTGGCTTAACGCCATTTTTCAAAAAAAAGTCAAATTAGCAACCGTAATAGTGTACATTTTTACATGATCTTTTAATATATTAAAAATCATTCAAATTTTGACATGACAAAAATGACAAAACTTGACATTACTGTCCACCTAATGTATTAGGTCGTCCCAAAAGTTTCTTCTTTTTTTCTTTTTCAAATAATATTACACATACAATATTGTGCAACATAAAAAATGGAAGAAATTTTCGTAACGATCCAATATATGTTAAATATTTAACTAACCTCAGTAATTGAATCGATACATAATTGAAATAGTTTTATTTTGTATTCTCCACTGCGCAACGCTCTTCCCAATTTTATATTAAGACGTTCACCATCATCAAAAGCAAAAAGTTTATCCGTCAGGCAAGTACATTCGGATTCGCCATCGCCACATTGTCGAAAAACTTTGAAATATTCAACAGGTACACCCACGTGAGGTTCCAAATTTTTTTTCAAAGTGCTCAATTGCATTCTTTTATCTACTAAAACCTTAAGTACTAAAATGACCAAAAAAAAAAATATAATTATTAAAAGTTTATATAATTAATATTATAAAATAAATAAATAAGAGTACATACATTTTCGATTGGTGTTTGTACAAGAAGTAGCCTTAAAGTAATATTCAGACTCATCATCGCTATCAGTATTATGTATGTCTAATTGATTTGCTATATCGAATCTTCTATTATCCGAAATGGGTGGATGATAAGACGGTGGAAAATCATCGTCCTCTTGAGTATCACCAACCAAAGTTTTATCGCTGTCACTAAGACTGCTGTCTTCGCTGTTACTCAATTCAGAAATATTCCATTCTTCTGGTTCTGCCGATGGTAAATCCGGTATTGAACAATCATCATTTTTCACTGATATTTTATTAACATCTCGAAACATTTCACATAATGTGTCATTTAAATTTTCTAAATTCTTAATCGCTAATTTAGCTAGTCCATTGGTGAAACGATTTTCTCTATTTTCATATTTTTCAGCCAAAGATACGACGTCTAATTCTTCCAATATTTCTATAGAAAATAAAATTACATGAAATATCAAAAGAAACAAGAAATATATTTTTAATTATTATAAAATATATGTTTGTTGTATTTATATTACCTTTGTTTACATCAGGTATCTGTACTTGTAATGAGATAAAACTTTCGAGCCTTGATATGACCTTATACATTGTTGTTTCATCAAAACTTTTATTACTATCCACATCGAGCATAGTAGATACAAATACTTTATTACTTCCATCAATAAATTCAGCTGTTTGAAGATCAATATCGTCTCTATCTATTAATTTAATATCAACTAATTTTACTGGTTTTCTTAAAACCAATAAAACTAGTTTCATTTGTTTAGGATCCATATTGATGATGTTTCCTAACATTTGTTTGTAATCCTTGACACTTTGATTGAGTAAACCTCGTACATTAATTGGTCCATCTATAATATCTACTTTGGGAATATCTATCACAAATACTTTAGTTGTAATACCTACAATATAAATAATATTAATTACATAAATCAAATCAAATAATACATAGTCTCATTTTGTTTTTGTATTAAAAATTAAAAATCTGAGATTTTTTTTGATATTTACCACCAGGTTGATAAACTTCAAACATTTCATCCTCCTTACGTATTTCTAGAAGAAGCTCAATGGAACTTTTATTATACCAAATACTAGAAATCTCATCTTGTTCTCTTCCTTCGTAACTGCATTCGATCAGATCTGAGCTGTGTTTGTATGCAACTAAACGACATTGATTTAATTTCACTACTTCACGTAGATCTAATTTTTTATAAGCTTTTTCCGTAACCTCAGCTAATTTATATTCAGGCAATACTATTAATTTAGTGTGACAAAGATTGCCAGTTACCGGATGATGACAATAAATTTTTAATTTAGGACAAGCTATTTGTTTCTCTCTATTCCTTCTGTCATTGTCTTCACTTTCCTTCATTTTTTTTAACAATTCCTGAAATATAAAACACAATGCTAATTACGTACATTAAAAATAATAATAAATATTAATATTAACCCTTTACACTTGAGTGGTAGAGACAGATTTAAGTGGAAACTCGAGTGGCGCCGATACGGCGCCCGACTGATTTCAAATCTGCTTATTATATGTTATACGATATTTCTTTTAAGATTTACTTAAAGATAATACTTAAAGGGTCGAAAAGGGTCTGTAAGGTTTACTCTGATTGTAATACACCTGAAAGTAAGCCGAAAGTAACATAATATTGTGATACGTGTCCTGATAAACCTGGGATGCATTCATCTTGACTATTGTTTTACGAAATATCATACAAAAACTAATTACAAAATATATTTCTCAAATTTTCTTGTTTTTTTTTTTATATATAAATAAATAAATTAATGAAATTTGATTATTTGTATACATTTGTTTGTTTATAAATGACTTTAAAGAAGTACATGTAAAAATGTTTCCCTAATTTGACTGACATTGTTTCGAGTTGCTGATTAGTGCAAGTGCAAAGGGTTAATATTATTAACTGATTTTGTTGTGTACCTGGATATGCCGAGGAAAATCTTGTGTTTGCATTGGTAAAGCATTACGAATTGGATCTATTTGTCTATACATAAGCATATATGCATTTGTGCTACTACTATATGCTCCACTATAATATGCTCTGGTTGAACCACCACCATAAGTTTTTTGAATATCATCCTGAGTTATCTGAAAAATGTGAAACATCATTTTATTATATTATTGATCATTATCATATTTTTTTTTTTTTTTCAATTTACATTTCTTGTATTTTACCTGAGTAACACTTTGATCATTGAAACACCACCATTCTCGTGTCCTAAAGTCCTTAATGTAAGCGTAATAATGGCCACCACTGGCACTTCCACTATGTATCATAATCGAAAATAATTCATATATGTATGGACCTGATTCTATTATGCAATTACCTTGGTGCTTTCCATTTTTATAATTGTGTTTGTTACAATTAGATGTTGATGGTCCATTACTCATATCAATACCTATATATATGTATATATACACACACCAATGAAAAAATAATATTTTCTTTAATATTTATTCTAAAAGTAATATTATAAATAAAATTAGAAATAATTTCTATAAAATTAAATCTCTATTTAAATTATATATTATTATTATTATTATTATTATTAATTGACATTAGAAACTGGAAAGTTAATTGCTACAAATATTAAATCCTGCCAGTGTTCGTCTGGTTTATAAATAGAAAATGTAATACTCATCAATAAACATACCTTCATCGTCATCCGGATCATGATTGTTCAATGAATTATAATTTGTGTGATTATTATCACAAGGTGGACAATCATCGTCTAATGTACCACTATCCGTAGTTGAACTATCATCGCATTTTACACCTACACCATTATCTTCTTCTCCAGATGGTGATTCTTGACTCATTGATGGTATAAATGAATTTAACAATAATGTATCTGGAAACGTGACTCTACAATGAAAGATATATTAATGTATATAAAATTATTATTATTATAAATTGAAATAATATATTGAATTATTAAACAACTTACTTATCATTAAGTTTAATTCTATGACAACTGTTGTTATCATAATCAAATCGTTTTAAATGTAACGTTAAAAGATAAGGAAATTTAGTGAACTTTAATCCTTTCTGTGCATTACATTTTTTGTTACACTTTTCACAATGATATTGATTTGCTCCCTCTAATGTTTCATGTTGGACAAATGCTTTCATAGCTTCTTCCTAGAAACATTTGTCTTATTTTGAATGAATTATTTCAAATATAACTTACATTCGTGACCAATGACGTGAATTCAATTCGTCTTTTCAAGTTCTATTTCTGGTTTGCACCTGACATGATTCACGTCATTTTATATTTTACTAATTTAATTAAAATACATTTATATATATATATATATAATAGGCCACGAATGTGTTAATAGTGTTTGAAATATTTGAAATATCACAATCAAAAATAAAAATAAAAATATATTACCACACTGTTGTATGCAATATTACTACCAAATGGCCTGACTGGTAATGGAATATCAAGAAAAGTATCTTCTCTTGATTTTTCTGTTCCACATTCCAAACATTTAACATAATCAAGCATTTTTCCTGTAATTAGTAAATTTAATATCAACAATCTGTGTTTATTATTTGAATTTCCAGTATATATGTGAAAATTAGAGAAAAAATAAAAATAAAATAAAATAAAATACCTTCATACAATCTATTAATAAGATCGGCTTGTTCTGTATTTCTAAATTTCAGTTCCAACGCATCAAACATGACTCTACATAGTTCTTGAATATCGTGCTGTTGCCAAGCTTCGTTAGAATTCCATCCAAAACTTTTGGTCAACGATGTAGTCTCCACTGCAGATTTTGTAGACGTCTGTTTATAACAACAACAACAAAAATTCATTTATGTACACAACAATAATATATTATTACTAATCATTTAATGTAGATTAATTTATTATAGTATACCTGTAAGTTGAGAAACAATTTTTGTAATTGATATGGAATACTCTTGGTTTCATCTTTTTCTGAACCTTCAATATATTCCCAATTATAAAGTGCATTACGAAATTCTGGTGTCATGTATAATGCTTGAAGTAAACTGTTGAGATAACACGTCATTGCTTGATTTACCAAACCAACATAATCTGTCAATATAAAATAAAACATTTTCTTGATTAATTCTATAGTATATATATAAATGTTAATAATAATAATATTTCTTTATATTATATTTAACATACTTGTTTCTGTCTTGATTGGACCTTTTAAATTGATATTATTTTCATTCCAATTAGATGATAATTGATGTTGAGGTGTAGGATCGCATAAAGACGGCTCGGATTCTAAATATTTAATAACCTTATTATGAACATTGACGACAAGAGTATTCGACGTTTCATTAGATTCAGAATTAGATTCAGAATTAGATTCAAAACCCATATCGAGCGAAGACAAATCTAACATTGTTTTATTTGTCATTTCTGATACGCTAACCTAAAAATGAAACAAACAAAAAAAAAAACAACAAAGAAAATACAAATATTATTATGAATTATTGTATAATACTTAATAATTGGTGTCAAATATTGTTAATAAGTTGTGATTTGACTTACCATCGTTCTCTGTCCTGTATTTAAATGTACCGTAAATGAATCTGGACGTAATCGATGTTGCTCTTCAATAAGACTATACAAATCTTTAACTTGCATAGACTCATGCAGCTCAAGTTTTCCACTTATATCTTGTTTATCCTTAGACTCTTTGATGATATATGGAATCAAACATTTTTTATTAATTTCATTCGTCCTATGAACCATGATCTGTAATAAAATGAAAATAATGTAAAAACAAAGTAATATAAATAGAAAACAAAAACAAAACAAAACCAAGAATCACAATTCAAACATACAAATAAAACAAATAAAGTATTCCACTTATTTAATAGAAGAAACAAATCTAAATAAATTAAGATACATACAATTATAAGAACAAATATAAATTTAAGTCGATATTAATTTCAACGTGTCAAAATCAAATATATATTTTGACTAGTGTAGTTATTATATATACCTTGTTTTATTATAACACAGAAATGAACATTTGGTGAATTGCAATGCATTAATATTTAATAATATATATATAATTCATTAAAACAATTATCGTACACACATATTGGTGATATTAATATAATTCTTTTCAATATGCATTAGATTCATCAAATATATTTTGACTAGTGTAGTTATTATATATACCTTGTTTTAATATAACACAAAAATGAACATTTGGTGAATTGCAATGCATTAATATTT